GACCGCTGATGGCAATGGTGGGGGTAGAAAGACGATTAGAGTGAGAGGCAAGAATAATAAGATCGTTCTTTCCCTGTTTACTGAAGCCTGATTGGTTGTTGTTAATCCAACAGTAGTTAGAAACAACAGTTTCCCCCACCATTGCCATCAGCGGTCCATTCTAGATGCCGATGGATTCCATTGATGATTTTTACGTGACCTTCAAATAATTCCCCAATGGCACCATCTCATGTCCCCCTTGAAGTCATAAAAATGAGGATGCCCATGATATAGGGGGGTTTCTACCCTAGAGATGGAACCTCTGAAAACGTTAAATTCATTTAGGGTATGGTGAAATCTATCGCCCAATACCAAATTCCACTTTTGTATCGGCAAGAGAAGTTGAAAAAATGTTTGAAGTTGTACGTAGTGACGATGCGGTGACGAGAGAGGCAGAGAGCGAGCAAGATAGTGAGAATAGAGGGGGAAAGCCGGAGCCCGGGTATGCCAGCGGCTTTAAGTAGTTCACTAGGCGGAGTTAAGTAGTTCACTAGGCGTAAGTAGTATAAAAGAAAATACCTACGAAAAGATCGACAATGAGAACGATGAGAAGGATGATTCACTTCTTATCGAAAAGGGCAATTTGGATGTAGGTCATATTGAAGAGAATGTGCCTGAAGGTCGTTACATTGTCGATCTAGCTTTCTTGTTGGAAGGGATACGTAGGGAATATAATAACCATAAGGGATTCATAGAGTGCCGATTTGAGGATTGGTACTCGTCAGTTCGAAGCGTCGTGGGTTACTGACACAGTTGTCTTATGAGTGCCGAATGTGCCATTGTAAAGCAGATATTTGGTCAGAACCTATAAAACCTGATCAATTAGATCTGAACACAGCTGCTGTAACAACAACAATTACAGCCGGAATAGGATATTCAACGCTGCAAGAGATGTGTGCAGGCATGAATATTCCTTGTATGACAGAGCCTACATATATTAAATATCGCGAAGATGTAGTAGATGAATTCCAAAAAACTGCCTGGAAAAATATGAAAAGAGCAGGCGAGATTGAAAAATAACTCGCTATAGAGAACAACGAAATAATAAATGGCATTCCGTATATAACTGTTGTAGCGGATGGTAGTTGGATGAAGAGATCGTATGGCAAAGGCTACGATTCATCTTGCGGTGTAGGTGCCATAGTTGGTTATCGCACAGGTAAGGTTCTTTTTGTAGGCATCCGCAATAAATACTGTGCGATTCATGGAGAGAGATTCATGGAGAAAGATGGAGAGCGATGCAATTGCAGAAGGCTTTCAAAGTAGCCTCGAAATGCATGGGATCATTTATAGATCACTTATCGCCGATGGCGATAGTAATGTATATAAGCGTATTGTAGACAGTAGACCATATAAGGAGCAGATGGTGAAGGTGGAAAAAATTGAATGCACCAATCATCTGCTTCGAAATTTAAAGAAGAAGCTGCTAAGCTTCTGAAATGACGCAACCAAGAACGCAAAGAAAGCGTGGTTTTATCGAGGCCCGAAATATCGTAAAAAAAATGTAGAAAGACTACGCAAAGAGGTAATAGAGGCATCTTCTGTACGTCAAAAAGAAATTCAAACTCCACATGAAAAAGCTAGGGAATTACGAAAAGATATTTTTAACATTCCTAGCCACGTTTTCGGTGAGCACAAACGGTGCAAAGAACTCGGTCAAAAATGTGAAGATGACATAGGAACAAAGAACTATGTACCGTTGCTGAAACTGTATGGTCTATATGGAAAAATAGAAGACACCTTCATGTACATAGCCGCTTATTCAGATAGCCTGCTACTTAATTTAACGAATAATCCAGCAGAAGCCTTTAATTCGATAATCTGTAAGGAAATTAGCGGAAAGCGTATAGATTATGGAAAACGAGGCTCTTACAATGCTAGAATTGCGGGAGCAGTTTTGCAAAATAATATGCAACAAGCCCTTACAGAAATATATAAAGGCATGAATAAAACTGTTCCTCCAATTGTCGAGAAACTGGAAAAAGAGCGGCAAAAAAAGTTGCCTTTACTAGAGAATCTCGACAAAGAGATGGAAAGAAGAGAAAAATAAAAGAAGAAGTTAGAACTGGTTGTGATTATGGTCCACAAGCACAAAAACCAGATCTTGAAGATGATGTATTCCAACAACATCGACAAGAACATTTAGACAAGTTGTTTCAAAAACTGGAAAGATCTTGAACGACAAACGACTGATCAAAGAGAATCCGGACGTTGGTTTTCACTGAGAGACAAAAGGTTGACAGCGTCCAATTTTGGCCCAATATGTCGTATGCGACCCACAACATCTTGCGCAGCGACAGTAAAAAATATTCTATATCCTCCGCTCGTCGATACTGCAGCCATGAAATACGGTCGCGATCGAGAAGAAGTAGCGAAGGAACAATTAGCTGCAAAATTGAATAAAGAAATAAAATCTTGCGGATTGTTCATTGACTCTGAAAATCCATGCCTGGGCTGCACTCCTGATGGATTAATAGATGAAGATGGTGTCGTGGAAATAAAATGTCCTCAGTCGGCTGAACATTTAACAGTAGAAAAAGCTGTAGAGACATTGGCCCCTTTGAGAGCCATCTTTAATAAAAAAGACCCAGAGAAAATGAATCGCAATCATAAATATTTTTATCAAATTCAGGGTCAGTTGAATATAACAAAGCGCGACTATTGCGTTTTTACTATATGGACACCCAAAAGCATGAAAATAATACACGTAAATAAAGACAATGCTTTCTGGAAAAAAAAAATGCTGCTTCGCCTAATACGCTTCTATTATGAATGCATGCTTCCAGAAATAGTGGATAACCGCTATAATAAGAATATGCCTATAAGAGATCCAGGATATATTTTACAAGCGCAAGGAGATGCAGCTAAAAAAATTAACCGGAAAAAGCGGACATATTCAATCGAGAGCGATAATGCCATCGAAGAAAAAAAATGTAAAAGTGACATTTCGCTAACAGAAACAGCAATTCCTGCTGCTGTGGATGTTGTAAAGATCGAACAAGATGATGACGATGATGATTGTGTCATTATTAGTTATGATAACGAATACTATGTAACTGAAGCTGATATGGCAAGACAAAGAAAATTTCTAGATGATAATATTCCTTCACTGTCTTCGGTGAAGGAGAATGTTTTACCTACATACAGCAAATTAAACGATGAATCATTAGATCGATTTTTACGTGTTGTCAGAGAAACTTCTTCTTTTGAAACGCAAAGTGTACTGTATCTAAAGTACCCTCATATTATTCAAGCTAGCCATAGCGATAAAAGCATACAAATAATTGGAGGGAATTGTACCGATCACTGGCGATGTATATATTTTGATGGCATCAAACTTCACGTATACGATAGTATACCTGGTTGTACGTACAACAAGTTGGCTGCCAAGGAGAAAAATTATATACATCTTCGTTACCCGAACGTGAAGCCTAGTGATATTATTTTTGAAAAAGTTGTAGCACAACCTGACGGTACATGTTGTGGAATTTACGCTGCAGCTTTTGCCACAACTGTAGCCTTAGGAGGCAATCCTTGTAATGAGAAATATTGCAAGAACGTAAAGTGCATGAGACAACACTTTACACAAATTATAGAGAGCAATAAGCTGATACCTTTTCCTTATGAGTCTTCTACAATAAGTAAGGCAGAAGTTCTAAGCGATCTCAAGTAATCGATGAAGTTGGCCAACAGCCAACTTGAACGACTTGATTAAGAGACTTCTGACGTTCTGACTTGCGGCTTATTGTAGAAGACCCATTGTAATAAAAATCAGAAGCGTGTGTTCAGACGGTACTGATAGTAATAAACATCAAAAGCGTCTGTTCAGGCGGTACTGATTGTAGTCAGAGGCGTCTGTTCAGACGGTATTGATTGTAATCAAAATCGGAATCGTTAGTTCTGACGATAGCTCTAGTTATTACAAAATAAAATTATTTATAACTCGGAGTCGGGGAGACGAAAAAAGTATCTATATTGGTTGCGTCTCACGGGAATGGGCGTTGGAGGGGCCCATTTTATATTTTCAGTACTATATAACGTGATTTTGTTATATAATTGTAATGTACTGACACAGAAAGTATACTGTAAAAATATTTGCCTATTTACATAAAAATAAATGTATATATATGTATATACAAACGGTATATAAAATAACAGAAGTTTGTCATATTATTCATTATCCATGTCCATCAAAAAATTTGCGCCGCAAAAGAATATTTTTGCAGAAGAATGATAATATCGAGAGCACATATGTTCATACACATATGCTTATATATGTACTTACATATATGTACTTTCACAAATGTAATTATCATAAGCGCTATACTTCTATGATTGTGTCTACATATGTGTATGTGTATACATTTAATTATATGTATGCCTAACACTTCCGACACCGTATATATACATATATATTTAAATCCAGTATGTAATATATCCATACATGGAATATAAGAGCTATATTCTAATAATTGCATTTATATGAATGTATATGTATATATATATAATATATATGTATATATATGTATATATATGTATGTAGAAGGGCAGTTTTCGGGTCGATTTTTAGCATGCATCGGCAGT